TAGTCCTTAATATTTTGTTTTTTCCTTTCAGGTACTCAACGCGTGCTTCACCTTATCAAGGACTTCGCCTAGTATCTGCTCCGACCAGTACGTGGCTTCTCTTCGGAGCTCCTTCTTCTCGTATTCTTCCTGTGTCTTAAGGAACGCTTCCTTCTACGACAGTGAGGACCTCTCTATGCTCACCATTGCTCCGACCTTTGGCTGGACTTTTGGCTCTGGTGACAAGGCCCTGGTCATTTCGTGAAAAAGCTAACCTTACAACTTTTCCTTAAACTACTTAAAACGCTCAGACAGCCGAAGTACTTGACGCACAACACGCACTTTTGACAACCTTAACGCTTAAGAAAATTGTTACTTACTGAACGAACAAAAACTAACAATTTCAATTTTGATTGGAACTATCAGTCGCCTCAACTACACGAGTCTAGCTTACCGCTCAAGTTTAGCCAATAATTCAACTTGACCAAAATTTTTACTAACCCTCTTTTCTCTTTCAGGTGACCGCCGTCGGATCCTTAGGATGACGTGGACTTACCCGGATTACGTAGAAAACCTTAACGCAGGAAGTACTGCTCAACACCTTTACTTACTAACCAATTATTACTTTTAAACTCAAGTTTTCTCGTAGTAATCAACAAGTTAGTCCAGAAACACCTGTTACCTGAAAGTTAGTCTCCTACCCCACTTGAGTCAACAAACCCAACTTTTTGTCAAATTTTGAATTTTGGCTCAAACGTTTTACCTCGCGTTCAACACGCGTAACTACCTCAATCTCAAGTTTCATTTACCATTGAAATTGTCAGTTTCACAAAGTTTGCCAACATCGTGAATATCAGCTTAGCGGGTAACTCCTAACCTAGTGGAGCTACTTCTACACAACAAAAACGAGAAATAAAAACAAAAAACGAAGCTTTCAACTTTTGACCAAAACTAACACGGGCCTCATGCACCCCGAGCGCTTAAATATTTACGAACACAAACAAAACAAACGAATACACATATTAACCTAAACGTATACACTTTGCGCTCGCTCTATACACCAAAAATAACTTTGGCTGATTGCCCTTTCGTCTTTACTGTTCGATCCTTCNAGTCACTTCCGGTAGTTGTTGGTTAACACGCTGACTCNGCGACGTCTGACGCGCCCCTCTGTGCTGGAACCGGAGCGTCCAAGCCCATCGGTTGCATTACNCCCGCTATTCCGAGATTTAGGGTGGTGGTTANACACAACTCCNCAGGTGTCGGAATTTTCGTGACGCATACCGACTGGTGATTGGGCGTTACGGAGACCGCTACCATCGTCACTCGGTTTGTTCGTCTTTTCCACCTGTTTGACGTAAAGGGGGCCTCCGCGGCCGACGGTGACAATGTTCACTTACGTTTGTTTCAAAAATTTTTAGCAAATGCAAAAACTGTGATCATATGTAACTTTTTCAGGTTTGACATTAAAGAACCAAGATATTGCAAAAGCTATTGCAAATACGCCGCAATCATTTCCATTTGGTTGTTGTTGCATTGTGGGAAATGAAATAGGAAGATTATTTTCAAAATAAGTTGGGAATAATTTTTCTAAAACTTTTATGCTGCTCATGCAATTTTTTTTATTTAGTGAATCGTAGATAAATATGGTTTTTGTATTGTAGTAGCTACATACCCAATGCAAATCACCATACAATATTTTTGTATATGTTTTGTGTCTATTGGCACACTTTTTATCGTATCAAGATCGTACAATCAAAAAATTTCTACGAGCTTGTAATTTGAACAGCTTTGTATCAAACGGCCTATTTGATCCATATGAATGTTAGTCAACCGTTCACCTTGAATAAGTATATTTTTGTCGTGTTTTGGTATAAATAAATTGATTTCTTTGTTTCCAAACATTTTATTATATAATAAAAACAAGAAAGTACAATAAGTTACTCAATAAGAGTACAATATATTCAATAAATTACTAAAGAATAATAAAAGTGTATATATGTAATATAATTTAACTAATAAAACAAACATGTATTATTCACTAATAAAACATCATTTTTATTCACTAATAGAACAACATTTGTTTCATTTACGCTGGAGGAAGATGGTGTTGTTCGAATATATATATATATAAATATTGCAAGAAGAACTCCAAGTGCCTCGGTGGCCAAATAGGAAAGGCGACGGCACGGAAAGCCGGAGATTCCAGGTTCGACTCCTGGCCGAGGAGTTTTTTTCGCAATATAAATTTAATTTCAATTAGGAGGGTATTTGGGATTTCTCATATACGAGATGCAAGTATAGCATCCAATATGAATTTTAGAATTGTTATTTCAATTCGAATTTCACGTGTAAAAATTTACATGTGAACACGTATATATGTGTATATATATACACGTATAATTTCCGCACAACACCTAGCGAACGGCTCTCATGACCGAATATATATTTATTAGTTTAACTAATAAGGACTTCCGCTTCCGGCGCAATAGAGTATAGACGTGGTGTTGGTTCGAGAGTGTGAAAGAGCTAGAGTAGAGAGAGTAAGTGGAGTGGAGAGAGAAAAAAGTGGAGTGGCGGGTGGTTGGAAGGGTGCCGGGAGCGAGGGTGAGTGAGGGGGGAGAGGGCAGTATAAGAGTGTGAAGGGTGGAGGCCGGTTTTGTGAAACGAGAGTTTAAGGTTAGGCATAGAGTAGAGAGGATATAGAGTGATAAGTAGGACGGGAGAAAAGTCACTAGAGATAAGAGGCTAGGGAAGTGGGATAGCGGTACGAACAGGAGGAGAGAAGAGTGATTGGTGCAGGGGGCCTTAAGCCGCTAGGGTGGAAAACAGGGTAGAAAGGATGAACAGAAGAGTGAAAGAGGGAGAAGCGAAGGAAAGAAACAGAAGCGCAAGCACAGGGAGCATTGAAGATTTTTTGAGAAAGAGAAAAAGAGAGAGGAAGGGAGAGGAGGAGGGAAAAGAAGAGGAGGAAGCGTTCAACAAAAGCAGAAAGACGCAGAGGTCGCCGATAGGACAGAAGGAGACAGAGAAGGAGGAGATAGGAAAAACGAATATGGAGGATATAGGAGGTGGAAGAAAGGGAGTAGAGGTGGAGAAGGAGGTGAGAGATTGGAAAGAGGAGATGAAAGAGATGAAAGAGATGATGAAGGATATGATGGAGAGAATGAGGGATTTGAAGGGAATAAAAAAGGAGATAAGAGAGCATGAAAGAAGTATGAAGGAGGAGATGGAGGGGCTTAGAAGGGACATGAGAGAGAACAAAAAAAGATGGGAGGAGGAAAGGAAAAGCTTAAAGGAGGAGATCAAAGAGCTGAAGAGGAGAGTGGAGGAGATGGAGGTGAGAAGGGATAGAAAGAGGAGAGGGGAAGAGGGGGTAGGAGAGAGGGAGGGGGAAAGAGTGATAGAAAGAATGAAGGAGATTGAGGGAAGGATGGAGAGAAAAGAAAGAAAGGATAGGAGAAAGAATATAATAATAAAGGAGTTAGAAGTGAGAGGGGGAGAAAGGAAGAAAGCGGTAGAAGGAATTTTGGAGGTTATAGGGGTGAAGGTGGAGGTAGAAGAAATTAGAAAGTTAAGGGAGGATGAGGGAGATAGGGAAATGGTATGGATAAGAGTAAGGAATGAGGAGCAAAGAAATGAAGTGATGAGGAAGAAAAGTAAGTTAAAAGGGAAGAGGGAAAAGATTGTAGAAGATTGGACGTGGAAAGAAAGGAGGATGAGATGGAAATTAGAGGAAATCGCAAGAAGGAAGATGAGGAAAGGAAGGAGAGTAAGGATAGGATATGGAAAGTTAAAGATAGAGGAGAAATGGTGGATATGGGATAAAGAGGAGGAGGTGCTGAGAGACGGAAAGGGAATGATAAAAGAGGAGAGTGAGGGAGAAGACAAGGAAGTGTAGAGAGGAGAAAACGGAGGAGGGAGAAGGGGGGAAAGGGGAGGATCAAATAGGGTTGGGGAAGGGAAGGAGCGTGGAGGCAGGTAAAAGGAGGGAAAAAAGAGTGGATAGTTGGAAGATGATGTTTTGGAATGTTGCGGGAATGAGGAATAAAGATAAGGAGTTCTGGGAAAGCTTGAGGAAATGGAAGGTGTTGGTGTTAACAGAAACATGGGTAGAAAAGAAAGAATGGGAAAGAGTAAAGAATAGGTTACCGAAGGGCTTCAGATGGGGGATACAATGGGCCACAAAGGAAGGGAAAAAAGAGGGAGAGCTAAAGGAGGAATGCTCATGGGAATAAGAGAAAATATGGTGGAGGGAGAGATAAAGTTTGAGGTGGGCACGGAAGGAGCAATGATGAGTGAGATGAGAGTGGGGAAAGAGAGATGGAAAATTATAG